GTATATTTAGCGGGGACGGTAGATACGATATAGATATAGAACGAGTGAATGCAGGAAATAGAGTAAATGGGGTTCTACACTCTATACACTGAGAGAAATTGCGTGATAAGAGAAATATGTGGTGTGCAAGATGATATTGTTACCAGAATTAACAAAGGAATGCTTCAGTAGTTTGGTTATGTAGAAATAATAAACGAGGAAAGAGTGACAAAGCAAATTTATAGTGCAGATGTGAACGGCAGAGTCGGGAAGGGACGCCCTAGAAGAAGGTTCATCGTAGGAGTACCCTAAACCGACGAGCGTCTATGCGTAAATATATGGATGTAAAAGAGGCGGAAAAGGTGTGTCAGGATCGTGCCAAGTGTAAGTCCGTAGTCCCTGCCTACCCCTCTGTGTGACAGGCGTGAGTGTTTATTTTATTATCTATAAATGAATATTTCTTGTTTACTTTTTACAAAATCTATCATAAATAAAATACCCTATTAAAATACCCTATTGTACACAAACTTTGCGTTGCGTACTTAATATTAATTACGTATGCGAACCTCGTAGCCGCCCGGCAAAGAAGGCAGATAAAAACGCAAAATAAAATAGCTTGACAAATGGGTATCTCAAGAACTGAGTGACGCACAGCGAGAAACCAACGTCGAAGCTTGGCTGAATCCGCATAGAAAGGATGAAATTTTTAATAGAATGTTAAAAAATGGCTCCCACATGACGGTTACAAACGTTCATCACAGTGGTTAGACCTAGGTGTCAAATCCAAACAGAGCCTAAAACGAAAGGTTAGCCAGAAAAGTTTATATTTTGCTGATATTTTGATATTTGATAGCTGATAATTTGATAGTCTACTGATGCCGTTATTTACTATAGCTTCTTGCTATCTGGCGTCAGTTACTGCTGACCGTTGTTATCAGAATCGCAATGCTAGAGAATCTGACACTAAACAACCCACATTGGCGAACTGCTCATCGCCATTAATATACATAACATAGAAATACAGTAATAAGAATTTTGCTGCCTAGATCATAAAAGTGAAGTTACAGCCTATATACGTCCCCTGCGGGGCACAGGCCTCCCCTCATTTCTGAGAGGGTTTTAGGACACCGCCGCGCTGCCCCAATGCGTGTTGGCGAACTTCACATGTCTTCGAAATATTTTTTTTCTTATTCCTCAGACAGTGAGAAATATATATCATGTCTATGCAGGTTTCCTCACGATGTTTTCCATTACCGCCGAGCACGTGGTAAATCAGCACTTAAAATTGAATTAACAATTTAATTGTTGCCGGCGGGGATCGAACCAGGGTTACTCGCGTTCTGTTATACTTACAGCGAGCGTTAAACATCTGAGCTACCACGGCCTAGATCATACCAGAGTTAAAATGTTACATGTTTCGCACGTCACAGGGATTCCCAATCTCACTGCGCTTATTGCGACAGCACCGTTCAGCGTTCAACATAATAAATATGACTCGAGTAAGATTAACTGTGCCGCTGTGGAGAAAGTTAACAACGCGTCATCGTCGACACTTTTGTTGCCGGATCACTTAAGCGTGTCAATACCAACAAGATGTGTTTTAAAAATAAAACTTAACTTAAAGAAACAAGCCTTCTAAAAAAAATAAAAAAAAATTTCTACTATTTTTATAAGTATGTTATTAGACCATTCCTGCAGGTAGGCTGAAATTGTTAATTACACTGAAAGTGCTAATTCACCCATTTACTTAAACATACCTTAATAGCTTAAACATTTAATTTATGTCCTTTGTCCTATTTATACGTGGTAGAGCAACGGTATTTATATTATGGTTATAGCACTAATGGGTCGGCTCAACCGGGGAAGGACCACGATCTCACAGAATACCAGCGTAGAGATCCGGAGACCCTTTTTTACAGGAAACGAGGCATTCCATCTTAGTCCTCAGGGGTGACAACTATGGACCACAGCATCCAATTACCATCAGGTGGTCTGTGTCCCCATTTGTCACCGTTATTCTATAAAAAAATATTTATGATATATGCGCACAATGCACGATGGTTGAATATAAATTCCACCAATATACAGAAAAACTCATAGAAATATAATTCTATACAATACGGGAACAATATAGGTTATCTAATCAGCTAGAGCAAATGTCAAAGATTAAGATTAAGAAAACCAGTATTAATTAAAAACATTTTATAGATTATAGGTACATATGTGACGTGCCACTACTGAGAATGTCTGTGCTTCGTCTCATTTTTGAGAGGATTTTGGAAAGAATACTCTAATACATTGGTGGACATCACATATCTTCAAAATGTTTTTTGTTATTTATATTTGCATGCAACTTTTTTTGATATGTTTTCCTTCAACACCGAGCACGTAGTAAATCTTCGCTATTTACAATTTGATTGGTGCCGTCGGGAATCTAACGGGGTTCAACTAGTACAGCAAGCCGGATATACCACGGCTCTTACTTACTTTTTATTATAAGTAAGCTCTTAAATGCACTGTGTTGTTCATTAGTCGTATGCAAATGTATCGTTATTAGTCGTTTGATTTGCTAAGTGTACAAACTTTTATGTTTTTATTTTCATTCGTTAAACGTCCTATAGCTTCAAGCCATAAAATAATAAAACCTGCTTCGTTATGCCTTCGTATTTATTGTTTTTGCTTCGGCCTCGTCTGTTGGTTGTCCGTTTTTACGCTTGCATCGAGGCCAAGCATACTTTTACACACGTAACGTTTGCATAAGAGCCTCACTGTAGTGAAATACGATACTGGAATACCAATCACTTTACCAAATAAGACTATTTATCTTTGTGTTTCGCGGTATTTACAACGTTTGGCATTGTTCAACAGATAGCTGCAGAGTCATGGACATTCTGCTGTGTGAATTTAACTCAATCCGTGTTTATAATACTGCATCCAACGCATTCAATATAAGACAAACAGCCCCTTCTGGTTTATGTTATGACGGTAAAATTAACAAGCATTTAACGGTAAAACAATCTGGTGATAATTACGGCTTCATTACGAGTATCTTTTGTTTATTATACAGGTCCAAAATTGAAAAACCTAAAAGATCCTTAAGGAGTAACGGTACCATTAACACTGGTTGTTGGCTAGTTAGCTACCGGTCGCCAGGTAGGTCGATTTTTTGTTTCTATCATGTTACTGGTTTCATTTCTGACCAGTAACAAAATCTATGCCTGCATCTCACTAACAACTGGTTTCTTTTCTGACCAGTAACAAAATCTATGCCTGCATCTCACTAACAACTGGTTTCATTTCTGACCAGTAACAAAATCTATGCCTCCATCTTATCTATAAAACCCGACCCTTTTGCCCAGCATGAACACTAGTAATTAGCTACCAGACAGGCCAATTCATGGAACGAATTTTCTTTCAGGCAGCAATAACTTTAGACTTATTTTTGACTCAATTAATCAATTATTGATTTCGTTACATTACTAGCTTTATGTTAAGATAATAGTTACTTATTTTTGTAGAAATGATCTGAACAACTAAATCTATTATTAGCAACTTTTGATATACAATTTCCCATCGAAATTTCTATGGTTCTAATCCCAACGAGCAACGAGCACAAATCACCCAAATTTGTTGACAATATTTATCTTCTTAATCAGTGTTTGCGCGTAGGTTGTTGCTTACAGCGTAATTGACGTTAGTCATACCTACTTATAAACATATGTAAATAAACATAAATGTAGAAGAGTATTTTTTTATGATAAATACCCTGCGAAGTTATGATTAAAGTCATATTCGTTTTCAGTCGTTCAGTTCGTCATCGATTTTTCGATGCACATAAGAGCAATTTTCATTCCAATACTTCACTTTCGCAACGTATGGTCTGCTTTATGCAGCGTATTATAGTATAAAAAATACAAGAAATTAAAATAAAATAGGCCACCGTTTCCGAGAACGGAGGCGAGATGATATTTGCACGTGTATTTGGGAGTAACTATCATCATCAATTACGCTGTAAGCAACCTACGCGCAATATATTTATAACGTAACACAACGCATAAAGTTCACAAATTTTTATGCAAATGTAAATAAGTTTAAGAAGCTTACCTACATTTGATACATAAAGTTTTCGCCTACAATTTTACAAAACTTTGCATATAATACGTGAGTAACTGGCTTGTCAATAAGTGCGAATGCAAAGGTATTGGCCCGGCCCTATGTGTATATGGTCTCATCCACCCAGTGTGGTGAGCAAATCTGAAGGAAATACTCGCAAACTTGCGCATTCTGAGAAACACATACTCAGCAGCTGATTTATATTATACCGTCTTAGTTTAAGTACATTTTTAGACCCATAGATATGCACGTACTTGAATGAACCATTGATTCTTTGAATTAGAGTTACTGGTTTTACAAGTATAATTTCTTCTATTTACACCATGAGTATTTAAACAATTTTAGCTACCTATGTTACGTTATCTTAATTGTTACTAAAAAGTTGTAATTATATAAAGTGTAATAATATGAAAATAAAATATTATATGAAACGGTTATTTTAATCTTTGATTTGTTTGTTAATATACATACAAATAGGACAATAAACTGTAGCCTCATGCATTTTTAACAATATGGCTATTTACATTGCACTTACGTTTATGGAGATTCGTCATAGTGAATTAGAAAGCGTATATCATGACAAATCAGCGAATGACCACCAACAATTGATGCATAAATACAACATCTGGTAGATTAATACTAATTACATCTTTCAATTAACTGTACCTATAAGTGTATAACATTAACCAGTATAGTATAAATTGTATAACATGATTCGCACTTTCTTGAGAAAAATCACAGAAAATAAAAAAGTCAAATCCGAGAATATTAATTAGAATATATCAAAATATATTCTAATTAATATTCAAAGTTAAAGTCTTCACTCAAATTTGGGTACTATAAGTACAAAACTCTTCAGATTTAAACTAAAGATTCAAGTTATAAAATAAAATAAGCAGACGACTCACCGTATCACAGATGTCCTTATTTCGCAAAAGCACCTCTTCAAATTCCAATATTCAGTAAAAGCTTATGTGTTAAAAAATTAACAATTTCCTCTACTTATGATAATGGTAGGATATTATACAGTTATTTTAAAAGTTGTTGTTAATGTATTTGGTAAATTACTATTTCTTCTACCGAACGTAACGTTACTCCGAAGCGAGGCTTCGAGACAGACTGAATGAGGGCTAGCCGCTATCCTCTTTTTTATTTTAGTATTGTAAATGTAAACTGGTATGCACAACACACTTGTCGGTGTCAATACGAGGTAAGGAAAATGAAAACACCTTATTTTAGCCGCCCACATGATGTCGCGACAAATTAAAATGTGATAGCATCTTTTAAAAATATTCAAGGTAATGAATAACCGTTAGGTACACGTATTATTTGTAAACAACGTTATGTACTACAATTGCGGTCACTCGATAAAAATTTAGTTATACAATGCTCCGTCTAACATTTAATTTTCATAACGAGTAGAGAGTTTTGGTTGGGAGGTTCCTACCATTATAGCCTTAGCAAATTATCTAACGAATTTCCAGCATGCTGCCTCGGTGCTCACACACCCTTTAATTTTACCTTGTTCTCTCTCTCATTTTGTCTATCGATTAAGGTCTTTCTCCATCAGATGTTTTTCACGTGTGAATATTATTTTTTGTGTGATAAAACATTTTCGTTTATTTCACCAGCCGGTAAAGTAAAAGTCCACTACTGGACACGTCTTCATCATCACGCTTCACAAGCATAATCTTATTTTGGGTAACTTTGAATTGCGGTTTAACTTTGAACAAAGTTGTAAAAAAGATTTATTTATTTATTTAATAGAATTTTTTGTTGTTTCAATATCGTAACTGCGTAAATCGGATCGCCAAAATGTTCAAACGAAAAGTAAAAAATAAACTGTCAAATACATAATTGTGTATTTGACAATTTATTTTTTACTTATATTTTTATATAGTTATTGGAAGTGTTAGTTGCTCTGATTTGAAATCGTAATTAAATATACTAAACTTATTGTGAACAGGTATGTATTATGATGATTGTGTAAAATGCAGATTATATTAAATTTTTTCCAAAGACATTTAAGTATGTAGTAGTAATAGACCAGACATCAGCAACAAAATTGTCGTCTGTAACTTTTGTCCTATAGGATATATCTCCGATTTTTGTCATTTAGTCCATAGATTACAGTGTATATACTAGAGAATTTAGTCTTAGTGACATTGTCAAAAGGTCAAGACTTAGTACTCTTATTAGTTTGTGGGTCAAGACGCAATCGCTTCGTAAATTTAAAAATTATTTTTAAAGAAAATATGCCCTGCTGTGCATTAAGATATTGTAAGTCACGATATGGAGCAAAAAATGAACGTGGTTTCGGTTTATTATCGTAATTATAATGTATGCTTACAAAATAATCTTTTAATTTTATATATATCTAGTTGATTTTTCTAGAACATTTATTTGTCACATTGAAGTAATATGTACTTACGTACTAGAACAGCTATTTCAAACAAAAAATGTGCGCTACTCTGTGTTCCCGCGGTTGGTTTTTTTATCATAGAATAAACATAGGTAGAATGATCAGTAGGTAATAATAGATTGCACTGTTAAATAGGTAAATTATATCGAGAACATTTTTTTAAATTTTGTCATTTATTTTGTATATTATATTTGCTTATTTTATATAATATTACATAATATTATATCACGACTACATTTTAATGATATTTTTATCTCAATATTTTAAAAGTTATCTATCTCAAATATCAAAAAAACATACTGTTGCGCGGCTAAATTGACATCTGGCACTAGCGCCATCTAGTGTCGGGTAACGGAGCGAGGGGAGAGCTTTCCAGAAAATGACGTCACTTAACTTTCAACCGACAGCGCCATCTGTTGTCGAAACGAAGAATTAAGCTTCTGGAAGCTGACTCTCGAACTTTCGGCGCTTTGTCGATTGGTGGAACAATACTAAATGTATGTTTAACAAAACTTGTTAATATAACATTTAAATTACAAATATATCTATTTAAATTAGAATAAGAGTCGTTTATAAATACTGGGCACGCGAGAGTTAAATTGACGAATTTATTCCACATTGACTTTGATGTGGAAACCTAAAAATAAAATATCAGAATAATTAGAAGATTTAAATATAAAAAATTTGGCCTAATTATGATAACTATGATAACTCATAATAATATATTCGTCCTATACTTAAGTACCCACAGAAATGTCGCATCTAAACAAATTAATTTCATAATCTATATTACGTGACACGAGATGGCGTCTTAGGAATAATTTGTTTTATTACTAATTTATAATACTTTTTTATTGATTAAGTATCTTATTAACCAATGAAAAGTAATTCCTTCGTTTTACTGACATTTCTTGAATTATTTGTGCAATATCTAAGTACGCACGACGACATATTTTTATCATGAGATTTTTTTTAAATCAACACAACACGTGTCAAATCTACAAGCGCCTAGCGAGTGACTGATTAAAGTGCGGTGTATGCACCGCAGTTGAGTGGAACATAGTAGCTGAATGCAGTGTCGCCTCTAGTACGTAGTACATAATAGCTCAATGTTTTGTCATAAGCGTCCTCTGTTATCCAGTAGTGTCACTATTTATTTACAAATGTGTTAGTGATTGACCATTGGCGTTATCGATAAAAAAATACAGAATACCGATTTAATCATCTACAATATTTAAGGAGGTGAAACAGTCAACGATACTGTACCCATACTAACAAAGATGAGTAGCACATACCAACTATGCTAAGTAGCTTACTTTATGCGAAAAAAGGGTGGGAAAATGTTTATTTACGCATGCTGATGAGATTTTCTGTGTTGCTTTTGAGCATGCTGAGGATACTTGCTGTGCTTTTACACACCGGGCTTCATTATCTGGTGGTTTTAAAAGAAGAGCCTTATAGATCCTGGCTTACACTGATAGGGGAGGGCTATAGGTTTGTTACATTAAAAACAATTTACACTGTTAAAGATATAAGATGCAAGAAGTTGTAGGTTAAGCCTGAGTTAGGAAATAAGGTAAAAACTTAAAGTGACGGATTTTTATTGATGTGGGTCTATAAGTATTGCATCTCATTAAATTGACATAATAACATAAAATTTACAAACTGCTTACAAACATGTCATGTTATTAAAATAATTTGCTTACAGAGTTCTATGAACCGGCATTATAATTATGGTCTTTGTATAAGCACGTATCTGGTAATTTTAGGTTTCCTTCAGTTAATGCCGCAGTGCGTGAAAAGTGGATACGGTTTGTCCAAACAGAGCGCAAAGAAGAAAATTAGCTTCCATCTGCTATATCAAAATTATGCTTAAAGCACTTTAGAAGTGAAGATATGTACTACGAAAAGACTGGTCGTACAATTTAAAAAAAAAGGATCATTTCCTTGTTTTGCAAGTGAAGTAAATCAAGCCAAGCAAATCTGAACATTTGCCTATTAGTCTTAACCACAGATTTTATTCAATCTTTTCTTGACATCACCTTTTTATAATTTCAGAATAATGAAACAAATGTGGAGGCTACCAGAGTTACACCAATCAGTGTTGTTGTATCAGACTCTGAGTCAATATTTGATAGTCCAAGGAAAATTGCATTGAAGTTGCAAGTTCGCAATTTACAAAAACAAAATATACGCCATAAGGCTATAATTAAAAAACTAGGCCAACAAAATAAATATATCAAACGGATAATATTAAACTTAAAACATTATTTAAACATTTAGAAAAGAAGTTTGATATTAAAATAAATATGGTTAATTCCTTAAATGCTACAGTATAAACGCAAGCCGTCTATGATAGACTCAATAAGCAATCGACGAAGGCAGGATTATCTTGTCGTAAATTTAATCCTTCTTTTCATAAATTTGCTCTAACTCTCCATTATTACTCTCCAGCTGCTTACAAGTATGCTAGGAAATATATTTTTGTAAAAGAAACGAATTTAAAAACATAGAGGCGATCTCTTATTTCATTTGGCGTATCTCTATGTGCTATGATATGCTATTATTATAGCATCTAATGGACCGAGTGACGTCATCCAATATGCCACCAATGGGACTGCTGTTTGAATTGATTCTTAGTTATTGGAAATTAAGTATTTTATTTCATGACACTTAGTGTGTGTGATAGAAGCCATAATAATTAGATTTATACAATAAAACAATCATGCATATTCCCTACTATTATATCGTAATGCATTTCAAACTTAATAACCTTCAACAACGTTATCGAAACAGGAACATTAAACTTAAAATAAACCGATACTAAAACCGATTATTTATTATCTATATTATATATTTATTAGCGTCACCTAATGGGGAATAGCTGAAATGTTTTCCATATGAATAATCAGCGTAGTGTTGCAATATTTCGCTAGAGGATATCACACACGCACGAGCTCACAGTTTTTGTATGCAAACGTTCCTAATGTCCACTCTACAAATATATATTATATATATATATATATATATATATATATATATATATATATATATATATATATATATATATAAAATCTCTTTTTTCATCGTTATTCGATTTTTTATAATTGTTTTAAGATGAAGAAATTATAGAAGACTATAAAGAAGATGAGACAAGTAGCGATTTAAAGGGCGTGACGACTGAGAAGTGTACAGGCAAGGGAGACGTTGATGTCCCGAAAATAAAAAGTGCACATATATTGTCTTTAGAGAAGGTAGTTTGTTCCCAGGTTAGAAAAAATTAGACCCTTACAAGTCTCTGTTCTCCAAAAAACATTTTAGAAGGTTGTTTTATGCCCTCTAAAGCTGAAATATATGAAATCGATTAGGCCAATATAATAAGTTTTTTTAAAAAGCAACAGTTATCCAAAAAAGGCGGGCAACTTGGTGCAATGGTATGAATAACTTTTATTTAAAAAAAATTTAATGAAAATGTCACTTGCAATTACGATTTTGATCTGATTCGATAGCGAAATAAACATATAATT